CTCTCTCTTTTACAAACTTTGTTTCTCAAGTCCATGTTTTTGTATTGCTGATACATATGTTTAATGCTAAACAATGTGTAGTGATGTATTTTTAAAATTTACATGAATGATATTCCACTGTATGTGCAACTGTAAAACTTGGGTTTTTCATTAAAAATATTTTTGAGAAATAGAAAAATGTATGCATATGGATATATTCATTACTTTAACAGCTATGTAGCATCCAATCTTATAATATATTATATATCCCTTTTTGATGGACCTTTGTATCATGCAACATCATCAGTGATGGTCTTAAGCTCAACTGAACCATCATTTACAAAGCTCAATAGGCACATAACTTTTGGCTTCCTTCAGGGCAGGCGTGTTTTTAAGGGGACTCCTTTCCACTGTCTACATAGGAGTTCAAGGACTATTTTATTTGCAATTTCCCCTCCCCTTCTCCCACATCAAGTGCTCAGGTGTGAAGAAATAAGACCAGACAGCCCATTCAGACTTAGAAGCCCGGTGTTCCAAAAGGAACCAATATCTTCTACAACAGTTATAAAATCATTGCCCCAGAGCTATGGCTTCCTACCAAGTAGTCACAATTCATTTACAGTCTAGATGTAATTTACCAATAAGAGACCATTTAACCATAGCAATGTTATCTGTAATACATCTGACATTCCATATTTACCAGATTTCCAGATGAACAAAGGTAGGAAGTTAACCTATTTTTTTTCATATAGAACAAAGGGCCTTGTTAATCCTTTACTTAGGATTGTTTTGAAAATTTTATTATTATATAAATTCTACAAGGATTATAATTATGAATGTTTCCTTAGATACAGGTGCAGAATGTTCTATGTCATACACCTAGAAGTGGTACTGCTGTGTTATATGATTTACATTTTTTAAAACTTACTTGCTATTGCCAGTATTTCTCTCCAAAATGTTCTTACCAGTTTTCACCTCCTCAGCAGCATAAAAGAACTCTTATTTCCTCACATCCATGTACTTGATATTCCATGTATCACATCCCCTCTTCTCTACCTGTTTCTTGCATTTCTCAAATAAACTACTTGCACTCAAGCCCCTTTTTCAAGGTTGGTTCTGGTGAAACTCAAAACTAAGAGTTTGGGTACAGAGGTGGTCCTAACAAGCAAATAGAATGAAATTCTGGAATCAAATTATTCCTGGTCAGATTGCAGTAACAATCCCAGTATTAGAGGTAAGTGGGATGGTGATCACCACAGGTTGCAGCAACACTGTGACTAATTACTTGTGGTGAATCAGCATGGGATTCAGGTATAAACTGTTACAGTAGCTTATGTGATAACTTTAGCATTTGGAGGTATTGTGGTAATTTTATGTGCTGTGGTGTTGGATAATAGTTGATAGCTTTCAGTAGGGAAGAGCAAGAACAAAATGGAACCAACCAACAGCATTGTGTTTGCTTTTTGGCACCTTTAACTAACAATGATCTTTAGAAGATGATGGCTACTGCTTTTTGTCTGCCTCTCAAATCTTGTGAAAATTCATTTCTGTACTCAGAACCATAAAGAGAAGGGGGTTTATAGTTTCCTATGCAACCAAATTGGCAATAGAATAACCCAGTATAGAGAACTGAGAGCCACTATGAACAAAAAGAGAATCTTAACCTCCTGCATATCATACTCTTTTAATCCATATATTCCTAATTTTTTTTTTATTACATTCAGCAGGCATTACTGAGAAATCATTACAAATATCTAAGCAGATGGAATGATTATAGCTCCAGTTTTAGTGAGTGGGGGATTGTAATTATAAACAGGAGATCCTAGATAAGAAAAGTGAGGATAGGATCAGAAAGCATGAAATTCAGAATTTTAAAAAAGATGTATTAATTGTGAAATGGTAGTCACAGATACATATTATCAAGGTCTCACACTTCATCTTAGTGGCAAAGCAAATTTCTTGTGTGATTTATTTCACATGTTCAAAAGCATTTGTTGAGCAATCTACTAAGGGTTATGTGATACATCTTAGAGCTCACAGTGAGGCAGTAATATAGGCATAACACTTTCAAATATTAACCCCTTATCAGAGCTGTTGTTTGCAAATATCTCTAATTTGGTTAGTTGCCTTTTTGTTCTGTTGTTGGTTTCTTTTGCTGTGCAGAAGATTTTTTAGTTTAATATAGTCCCATTCATTTATTTTTGTCTTTACTACCCTTGCCTTTGGAGTCAAATTCATAAAATGTTCTCTACAACCAAGGTCCATAAGCTTAGTACCTATGTTTTCTTTTATGTAATTTATTGTTTCAGATCTTACTTTTATTTAGGTCTTTGATCCATTTTGAATTAATATTTGTATATGGGGACCAACTATCGTCTAGTTTCATTCTTTTGCATGTGGCTTCCAATTTTCCCAGCACTATTTATTGAAGAGGCTTTCTTTTCTCCATTGTGAGTTTTTGGCTCCTTTGTAAAAAATTATTTCCCCATGTACATGTGATTTTATTTCTGGACTCTCAATTCTGTTCCATTGGCTTGCGTGTCTCTTTTTCTGCCAATGCAATGCTGTTTTGATTATTGTAGCTCAGTAGTATGATACTGCCAGCTTTTCTTTTTCTCAGGATTGCTTTGTTAGGGGTCTTTTGTGATTCAATACAAATCTGATAATATTTTGTTTTTTTCTTTAAAAAGGTCAGAGAAAGAGCTTCCCAGAAAAGAAAAAGCTAAAGTAGTTAATAAGAACCAAACCAGTATTGTATGAAATGCTAAAAGGGCTTTAAGAAGAAGAAAAAAGCCCGGCCGGGCGTGGTTCAGTGGTCGAGCTTCCACCTAGGATCCAGGCGATTGCGGTTCAATTCCCGGTCAGGGCGCATGCCCGGGTTGCGGGCTCCATCCCCAGTTGGGGGCATGCAAGAGGCAGCTGATCAATGACTCTCTCATCATTGATGTTTCTCTCTCTCTCTCCCTCTCCTTTCCTCTCTCTGAACTCAATAAAGATATATTTAAAAAAAATTAAAAAATATGAACAATAAAATGGCAATAAATACATATCTACCAACAATTGAATTTAAAAAACAAAATAAATGAACAATCAGAACAGAAACAGACTCATAGATACAGAGAACATTTTGATGGTTGCCAGATGGGAGGGGACTTGAGGGGGTAGGTGAAAAAAGTGAAGGGATTAAGAGGTACAAATTGGTTGTTACAGAATAGTCATGGGAATGTAAAGTAGAGCATAGGGAGTATAGACAATAATATTCTAATAAGTATGTATGTGTCAGATGGGTATGAGATTTATCAGAATGATCACTTAGAAAGTTATATAATGTTTAATCACCAGGGTGGACACATGACACAAATATAATATTGTATGTCAACTGTAATTGAAAAATAAAAATGATTTAAGAAAAACCTACTGCTACAATTCCTCATGACACTTATGTACTTTTGAGCTCGTGAGTGGATGATAGATACCTCAGAGGAATGGAGTGTTGCTATAACACAAGGGATAAGGTTGACTTGAAAAAGTAAAGGATATCATGGATAGTGAAACCGTTCACTCTATTTCTACTTTGTCTTCAGGTAGAGGAGGTTAGAGGAATGGGCCCAAAACAACAACAAAACAAAACAAAACAACAAAACAGGAAAAAAGGAGAAAGACACTGCCTGATCACAGAGATTTAACACGGGGTAGAGGGTAAAAGGAAGAGAGTGAAGTGATTATGAACCTAAACAAAATCTAGACCCAAATTTTCTATCCAAGTCTGAAGCTTGTTACTATCGACACCTTGATGCAGGACCATGTCATTGCCTTTTCTGAATTTGTGGAGAGTGAGTTTTCCAAGAGGTACCCTGAAAAAGACTTCCTTGTTCAAAGATACATGTTAGTAAAGCTTGACAGATAAAGGCATTTTCCCCCCTAAGTTTGTCTTGTGAACATTCAGCATTTTTTGTTATAAGTTGAATGGGCAAAATAGAGTAAGCAGTACTTGTTTTTGCTACTGTGACATCAGTACTACTGCAAGAAGAAAATGCCTTTTAAAATTTTGTGGAATTGGAGGCATTTTCCTATGCTGGCTCCTGAAGTGCTTCACTGAGACCTCAACTATCCTCTTAGTTCAAGGTTCTTGAAGGCTATTTGGTACATTTTTATAACAAGGACTACATGACAAACCACCTGAGATTTTTAATTTACCAGATTTTAATTCTGGAGATTATGATTTTGTAAAGTGGAGAGATCTCTAAATGTATACTTTTAAGTTGATCACTAACTAACTCATATAAAAAAGAAATGTCACCATTGCTATAAAATACTTCTGTAAATTAGCAGACATGTGTCTACCAATCCTAGAAGCTGAGATGGAGGCACATCCATATTATCTCATTTTTTTGAATTGTATTGGTCAGTTTGACTGACGGACATATGTAGAGAGCATACTTGAGGCAACGTTTCCATTAAAAGTTGAGTATTAGAACAGTTTGCCTGGTACACATCAGCCTATCAGATTATCTGAGAATCATTAAAATCCTAAGGGAGAAGAAAGTGATGCCTGATAATTTTATAGGGATTCAACAGCTTGAATTCAATGGTTCTTCAATGTTAAGAGTTACATATTTTTCACTTCTAAGTCAATATATATGTACTAGAGAATACCCTTTGTTCTTCGGAAAGTTTTTCATTAAATTTGTTTTTCTTTCAATTATATCTTAGCCATGTGGTATTTTAAGTAGCAAAAATTCCTCAACCAAAGACCATTTACATATTCATTCATTTATGCACTTAAGAAATATTTTTTGACCACTTGCTGCTAAGTGGCCAATATTGTTTATTTGTGGAAACAGTGGTGAAAAAATTTTCTCTGCCTTCCAAAATTATCTACTAATGATTAAACATGTGTTATTGATATAACTCTGATTTTGTTTTGAAAACTTTATGTAATACTTCTGTGAATCACGAGGAGGTTAAAAATGGCTAAATAAGGATAAGTAAAATTGAATTCTTATCAGAAATGTCAGGGTATGAAGCTTCCAAGTCAGGAAGTGTGCCGGGGAAAAAATAATTTTGTGAAAAATACTAAGTATTCTTTCGATTTACAAAGACCATCGGACAGTGAACAGGTGTCATTAAAAAATGCCAGAGGTGAAGGTATAAGACTGATTCTTGAAAGAAGAGGTTAACATGCCTACCAGTTTAGTAACTTGTCCACAAGGGGGTGTATTTTCCTAACACATGTATATTTCCTGCTTAAATTCTGAGCTCACATTCATCCTCTCACTCTGACCTTAATCTTTCCTCACAGTAAGAAGTAAAAACCCAAGGACACCAAAAAGTCTAAGAATGAACTCTTTTCCAGGATCAGCAATTGTGCTGTTGTTAATGTTTAGTAAGTAATATGCCACATAAATGTCAGTCTTTTGTTTCATTGTGTTGGATATGTTTAACCACAATTTTCTTAAATAGTAAAGCACCAGATCATGCCCACGCTAACAACATTGTTATAATTATTGTCATTTAAAAAATTTTTTTTTTTTTTTTAGGAAGAAGCAATGGAGACTCAGTGACTCAGACAAAAGGCCAAGTGACCCTCTCAGAAGGGGATTCCCTTACTGTGAAATGCTCTTTTGAAACTACATGGGATCCCACTCTTTTCTGGTATGTTCAGTATCCTGGAGAAGGTCCACAGCTCCTCCTAAAAGCCGTGAAGGCCAATGAGAAGAAAAACAACAAAGGATTTGAAGCCACATACAGCAAACAACCAAATACCTTCCACTTGGAGAAAGCCTCAGTCGAGGAGTCAGATTCGGCAATGTACTACTGTGTGATGAGTGACACAGTGACAGAAACTGCAGGGGGAGCTGAGCACAAACTCTGAGCAGCAAGGAGAAGCATGGATGCTCGGTGTCTGACTTTATGATCCACTCTAGCTTAGAGACCAAGATCTAGTCTACTATTGTTGTCACCCACCACTTACCCCAGGCATATTTGTTGATATGAAAATCATCCAATCAACTCTAAGAACAGGAGAAGTAAACATGCCTCATATGAGGTGCCTTAATGGTGAGATTGAAAGCAATCTGGTCACCATAGTTTCTTAATCACAGTTGAAATTTGTGATTTTTCAAAGTTTGTAAGTCTTAAATAAATAAAATCATCTATGTGTTCATCTTTGCATAAAATTGTAGCTCCTGACTTCATCCCAAGTCATCCAGGGAAATATTGAATTTAGAGACTCACCTATAACAAATGAGGTAGCAAATGTCTCCCTGATAAACTGGGGTAAGAAGGGGTGATTTCTGTGGGAATGTCAGTCCAAGAAACAACAGTTCCTTAAAAGAAGAAAGAAATACAAGAAAGGAAAGAGGAGGTGGAGAGAGTGTTACATACAACCACTCATATGGAAAGAGAAGATGGAACATTTCTTACAGTTTCCTTTTGGGGAAATTACATGTCAGGCATAGGGTGGTGTTCTCCATACACATTAAAGTAAAACTGTTATATTCTCTGCAATTAGAATATTGCCTGCACCACAGTAAAATCTCTTCAAATATTTATTAAATTAATAAATGAGTAGGAAAACTTATTACTGCTACCACAAAAAGCTACCATTTTTCATTAAACAAATTTATTCAACAAAAAATTATTTGTGCCAGATCATAATCTGAGACAGTACAAAGAACAAACAAAATTTGCTGCCCTAATAGCTGCAATCCTAATACAGATCTTACTCCATGTTACCACTATTCTAGTCTAATGTACATTAGGCCATTTAATTCTCTCAAAAATATATATTTCCAGGCCCATTGTGACTACAAAGACAGTGAGGCACAAAAAGTTTAAGTCACTTATTCATGATCATATAGGTAGTTAGTAGCAGAGCCAGGACTCAAATGCAGGTTCTCAATGCACTTGTTTGTTTGTTTATTTATTTATTTATCAAAATATTACAGATGTCCTCTTTTCTCCCCAATGACCCCCCCCCCCACACACACACTTATTCTCCTTCCCAGTCCCTCATTACACTATTTTGTTTGTGTCATTGGGTTATGCACATATGCATATAAATTCTTTGGTTAATCTCTTCCCTCTCCCACCTTCCCTCTGAGATTCGTCAGTCTGATCTATGTTTCCATGTCACTAAATCTATTTTGTTTATCAGTTTAAGTTCTTTAGATTCCATATATAAGTGAAATCATGTGATGTTTGTCTTTCTTTGCCTGGCTTATTTCACTTAGCATAATATTCTCCAGGTCCATCCATACTGTCCCAAAGGGTACGAGATCCTCCTTCTTTACAGCTGCATAGTATTCCATGGTGTAAATGTTCCACAGCTTTTTTATCTACTCATCTTCTGATGGGCACTTGGGCTGTTTCCAGGTCTTAGCTATTGTAAATTATGTGCTATGAACATAGGGAATACATATATGCTTTCTGATTAGTGTTTTAGGATTCTTGGGATATATTCTTGGAAGTGGGATCACTGGATCAAAGGACAGTTCCATTTTTAATTTTTTGAGGAACCTCCAAACTGTTTTCCACAATGGTTGCACCAGTCGGCATTCCCACCAGCAGTGTGCCAGGGTTTCCCTTTCTCCACATCCTCTCCAGCACTTGCCATTTGTTGATTTGTTGATGGCAGCCATTCTGACAGGTGTGAAGTGATACCTCATTGTGGTTTTAATTTGCATCTCTCTGATGAGTAGTGACGTTGAGCATTTTCTCATGTGCCTCTTGGCCATCTGTATGTCCTCTTTGGAGAAGTGTCTATTCCGGTCCTATGCCCATTTAAAAATTGGATTGTTTGTCTTCCTCTTGTTGAGTTGTATGAGTTCTTTGTATACTTTGGAAATTAGCCCTTATCAGATACATCCTTGGTAAATATATTCTTCCATACTGTGGGGTTCCTTTGTATTTTGAGGCTGATTTCTTTTGCTGTCAATGCACTTGTCTTAAGTATTAACCTAGAGAACTTGTATAACTGTATATACAAATCCCATTGCCAGTAGTAAGCAGGATTCTGAAGCAGAAATTAATCATAAGTTTTGAGCAACTATAGATTTGATTCTAGGATGGTCTTGTTGGCTTTTCTCTTCACATACACAGCATGACTCAAGTTAAAAATGGAAGTGCCTTATGACCCAGTAATTCCACTTCTGGAAATATACCCAAAGAAACTGAAAACACTAATTTGAAAGAATATATGCCCCCTTGTGTTCATCACAGTATTATTTACAATAGGGAAGCTATTGAAGGAATTCAAGTGTCCATCAATAGATGAGTGGATAAAAAAGCAGTAGTACAATGGAATACTACTTGGCCTTAAAAAAGAAGGAAATCTTATCTTTTCCATGGATAGACCTGTACAGCATTATGCTAAGTGAAATAAGCCAGTCAGATAAAGACAAGTACCCTTGATTTTACTCATACGTAGATTCTAATGAATAAAATAAACTAACAAGCAAAATAGAAACAGACTCGTAGAGAATGGACTGACAGCTGTCAGAGGTGGGGGAGTTTGTGCGGCTGGTGAAAAAGGTGAAGGGATTAACCAGAAAAAACAACAACAACAAAAATAAAACACATCAGAAAACAGCAACTCATTCACACAGACAACATGGTGATTACCAGGGGGGTAGAGAGTGGGGGGAAGTAGGCAAAGGTAAAGGGACAATAAATGGTGATGAAAGGAGACTTAACTTGGAGTGGTGAACACACAATACAATATACAGATGATGTATTATAGAATTGTACACCTGAAACCTGTATAATTTTATTAACCAATGTCACCCCAATAAATTTAAAAAATGGCTTTATTTATATTATTTTGATAAGTTTGATTGTGTTTCCTTTTACTTCATGGACTATAGTTAAATTTGTTGCTTTAACTTTTTTTTCTATGAGTTTTAGCATCGTAGTCATCTTGCCATTTACGTCTATTGATTATCTCATACTAAGGTGTATATTAGTCAATTTTTCTGGTTCTTTGTGTTAAAAGAAAGAAACAACAGATACATATTAGTCAATTTTTCTGGTTCTCTGTGTTAAAAGAAAGAAACACCAGGCCCAAGGTGAAGGCACTTGACCCCAGGACAACCAACCAAGACTTAATTGTAATATCAGCCCCTCCCAGAAGTGGGACCTTAAACCAATCAGTCTGGTATCTCCTGATCAACACTAGTGAGGTGCTCTGTCTGATAAAACCCTTGCCCACATTTCCCCCAAAGAAAGGTGACCCTGCCTGAAACAGTTGTTTCTTTTCTTTTGCTAATGACTTTCTTGTTATGCCCAGTTTCTGCTTATAAAAACCTTCCATTTTGTACAACTTTCCAGAGCTCCTCTCTGTTTGCTAGATGGGATGCTGCCTGATTCATGAATTGTTCAATAAATACAATTAGATCTTCAAAATTACTCAGGTGAATTTTTTTTTTTTTAACATTTGTATGTTGAATAATTTTTGAATGCATCTTATACATTTTATTTTTATTTATTTTTAATTGATTTCAGAGAGAGGAAGGAAGAGGAAGAGAGGGATAGAAACATCAGTGATGAGAGAGAATCATTGATTGGCTGCCTCCTGCACGCCCCCTACTGGGGATCAAGCCTGAAACCCAGGCATGTGCCCTGACTGGGAGTTGAACTGTGATCTCCTGGATCATAGGTCAATACTGAGCCATACTGGCTGTGTCATCTTAAACATTTTATTTATTATTATTATTATTTTTATTCCTCACTTGAGGATATTTTTTCCATTGCTTTTCAGAGAGTGTGGAAAGGAGAGAGAGAGAGAGGGAGAGAGAAACATTAATGTGAGAGAGACACATCAATGGGTTGCCTCTCACATGTACCCTGACTTGGGCCCGAGGTATGTGCCCTTGGCTGGAATCAAACCCAGGATCCTTCAGTCCCCAGACTGATGCTCTAACCACTGAGCAAAACCAGCTAGGGCAATCTTAAACATTTTATTTATTTATTTATTTATTTATTTATTTATTTATTTATTTATTCAATTTTAAAAAATATATATATCTTTACTGATTTCACACAAAGGAAAGGAGAGGGAGAGAGAGAGATAGAAGCATCAATGATGAGAGAGTCATTGATCGAGCCCGCAACCCGGCCATGTGCCCTGACTGGGAATCGAACCTCAATCGCCTGGATCCCAGGTCAACACTCAAACCGCTGAGCCACGCCCAGCTGGGCAATCTTAAACATTTTAAATGTTACATTGTGTAAACTATTATTTTTAAAAAAATTATAATCCTCTGGAGAATGTTGATGCATTTGTTTTAGCAGGAAATCATCCTAGTTTTGTTCAGACTATAAATTTTGTATCTCCTTTTATGTGTGGTGGCTCAAACCTCAGATCAGTGATCTAACCATATGCTATGTTGGTTTGGGTCTTTCTCCATCAAGTGTAGCTCAGGGATTAATCTGAAACTTTTTGGGTGGTTCCAATCTCAGGTCAGTTCCTGAAACCACTACGACACTGGTTTGAGTCTGTCCTGAATATGTTCACTCAGGAGTTAGTCTGATACTTGGTTCACGTCTCAGCTGGGTTACTTTATCTGCTATTCTGATTTGGGTCTGCCCTGTTAGGGTTTTGGCTGGTGATGGTGATGCCGACTGAAATAATTCACAACTAAGAAGGGATAGATGTAGAGAGGGAGTTTATTTTACTTTCCCGGAGGGAAAGGGCCAGTGCATCACTAGTCAATACAGGGCAAGGATTAAAGGGCAGCCTGCTCTTTTAAGCAGGTACTATTGCTAGGTGACAAGGAAAGGAGGGGTTTGGGTTTTGTGTTGAAGTTGAGCAGATATCAAGAATGTTGTCTTGAAAAGTTACAGTTTGTTTGCTTTCCAGGAGACAGTCCGGCAGATGTCCTAGGGAGGTGTCTTATCAGTGTTTTTCCTAAGCCTGTAAAAACAGACTTATAGCAAAAGTTATGAAGAGTGCAAAAGAGGCTTGTTTGAAAGGGAGGGAGGAAGGGAACTATCTACTGACTAGAGGCTCCTTGGTGAGAATTATCCTTGAGTTTTGAAAACAGCAAGGAGGAGGGGGATGTAAGAATGCAACTTTGAGAGTAACTTATCTCCTCTCACAGTTTGAACAGAAAGGCTGTTTGAATTAGAGGAGCCAACAATCTTGGGGTTTCATTACCAGGTGCTTCTCATAAATTGTGGGAGGCCACAGCAAAGAAAAAGGCCTTTTTCCTGTTCTTACATGTCCCATGCATGTTCAGTTTTAGGGTTAGCCTGGGACTTAATTTATTCTTTATGTCTTTCCTCAGAGCCTCCCTCCACCAGCACGGAGCACAGGTCAGAAAGATTATGTTTCTTCCGTTTTAGTTTTGTATTATTGTCACCGTGCCATGAGGAGCTTACTATCAAGGCAAAGCCAAAAGAAAATGAGAAATTTATCCTTTTGCAGGTTGCTTCTCCATTACTGATGACCTTATACAATCTGTTTTTGTATAATTTTCAGCACCCATAGGAAAATGAGACCCCTTACTTTTTTTAAATCATGCTTAAGAACTACAATTTTTGCTAAAAGAAAAAAAAATTATTCTGCATCAGTTTCAAAGAACATGGTAAGGCATAGCACAGCTAGTCAAAGGCTGTTTTTCAGTACCCAAATAGTTGTTTTGTTTTCCATTTACTCTTCCTCTCTCTCTATTAAAAAAAAAGATTTTAGAGAGGGAGGAAGGGAGAGAGAGAGAAACATTGATGTGAGAGACACATTGATTACTGCCTCCCATCTGTGCCCCAACCAGGAATCAAACCTGCAACCTAGGTACATGCCCTTGACCGGAAATCGAACCCATGACTTTCCCATGCATGGGAGGACACTCCAACCAGCTGAGCCACACTGGCCAGGGCCTCTCTCTATATTTTAAAAAATGTCTCAATTTTTGCTTGTTTTTACTACACAATGGTTGAAGGTGTTCTAGACTGTGGAGACTCTTTAATGTTTCTGGCAATCAATATGTTTTTTAGAATCTTGCAACATTCTTCCAGGAGAATATTCTATTTCTGAGCTTATTCTTTTTCAATTATGAGTTGCTACTTTTACCACCATTGAAGATTGGAGAATTCCTTTACACTCTTCCAGTACAAAGGAAACAGCTCTGTTCCAAGGTTTCAAACAGTGCTGTGGCCCTTGACATTGTACATGTGGGCTTTGCCAATGCCCAGAGACGTTTAAAGGAGTTAAAATGCCCATTAGGCTTGCAAGCCAACAGGGATTGCTCCTCATAGCATATTATTGACTCTGTTTTTTTTCTGTTCTAACATTAATCCTCAATATGATCACATCTACTTTCTGTATTCTGAAAATATATATAAATGTCTCATCTCCAGATGGCCTCTATTCTTCGGACTCTTATGGATTTTGGTTTATTTTCTTTTAGTTTTATTCTTTTAGTTAGGAGGACATTTAGAAGAGACAGGAGTGAGTAAAAAGCCACAGGAATTAGAAGTCTACATGCATAGACTACAAATTCACAAATGGACAGCATTATCTCATCTCGTATATGAAAGGGAATCTTGATGGGAATTAAATTAGTGATTGAAGAACCAAGAAGAGTACCGAGGTCATACTCCTGGAATCCGAGAAAAGAAATATTCTGACTTTTGTCAAAAAGCCCCATTGGCCACAGAGAAAGCAGAGAACTTCTCTATTCTCAGGTTTTCAGATATTGCTTTTTTCAAGTAGATGTATGTCCTTCAGCCCTAGGATATGTCTTCCCATCCAGAGTTGCTCCTTGCCCCACAGCAATGTTATTATCAATTATGAGCCCTGTCCTTTCCTCTAAAAGGTTTTACAAGCATCATGTGGGTGCATGAGCATCATGTAAGGGAAATATCTCTGCCATCTTCCGTCACCACATGGCAAAAGTTAGTTTGAAGAAATTGGTCTGATTCCAAAGACTCTCATGGACTTGAATTCCACATCAGATTTACTTTTCAAATCCTGATTTCTCAGTGAAGTAACCTGTTAATCTAGTTTTATATGACATCTCATTTGTATAGGACTCTAGGACTAACATAGCATCACAGATTTGGAAAGGAAGAAACATACTGTGTGAAAGTTTTGATATATTTCAGAAAATAGAAGTNACATATTTGGTAAGGAAGAAACATACTGTGTGAAAGTTTTGATATATTTCAGAAAATAGAAGTCAAACACTAATTAGTTCTCTGGCCTTTGGTTCTGCGCCTGACCTCCAGAGGGCGATGCTGCCCAAACTAGAGATCTTGTGGATCAGTAGCATCAGCTCAGCTCCTCCTCCCTGCAGCTGGCTGAGTGCTTTGCAGACAGAGACAGGTGACTAGAATCAGATGTCAGAAAGCTCCAAGCTCATCTCAGCAGATTTTGTATTTTTATCTTAGCAAGAAACTTGCTCAGCCTAGCCTTGTCTACACCTCCTTCCAAGGGCTTGGTTTCTGCAGCCACTTTCCTGCCTGTTCAGGGGAGATTTTCCAGAAAAGAGCCCACAGAGTTTCTACTGCTCAGCCATGCTCCCATTGCTTATCTCAATACTGGGGATGATATTTGTTCTGAGTGAGTAAAATTTCCTAATGGTCTATAGTTCTACAGATTCTGACTAGAAGTACTTACCTCTCATAGCAAAGTCTGAACTGCTTTCACTGATAAAACATTGATTTTGCAGGAGACTCCAGAGCCCAGTCAGTGACCCAGCCTGACAATCACATCAGTGTCTCTGAAAGAGCCCCACTGGAGTTGAAATGCAAATATTCCTATGATGCTGTTACTGCTCTCTACTGGTATGTGCAATACCCCAGCCAAGGCCTCCAGCTTCTCCTCAAGCACTTTTTAACAGACACCCTGGTTCAAGGCATTAAAGGCTTTGAGGCTGAATTTAAGAAGAGTGAATCTTCCTTCAACCTGAAGAAATCCTCGGCCCATTTGAGCGACTCAGCTGTGTACTTCTGTGCTCTGAGTGACACAGTGTTTGAGACTGCAGGGGGAGCTGAACATAAACCACTCATGGCAGTGGAGTTTTCAGAGACTTGAGATCTGTTCCTGTAGTATTTTTAAAGATTTTATGCTATATGACAGCAAGTGAGGCAAAGAGTGTGGAGCAGACCCAGGTAATCTGATATAATCCTACAATTCCATGTCTGATAAACTTTTCATCAGAAACCTTTTTCTCTGTAGAAACTACATCATAATAGATAGTATCCTAGAATGATGGAGACAGGGTTCTTATCACATAATAATCAGATGCTCAAGGTCATTGAGGTTGACTGCCTCAAGAGATTGACTCTGTGGGTTTTGTTTTTTTAAATCCTCACCTGAGGATATTTTTTCCATTGCTTTTCAGAGAGAGAGAGTGGAAGAGGAAGGGAGGGGAGAGGGAGACAGAGAGAGAGAGAGAAACACTGATGAGAGGGAGACACATCTTGGTTGCCTCCCTCACCTGTCCTGACCAGGGCTGGAGATAGAGCCCGCAACCAAGGCACATGCCCTTGACTGGAATCCAACCCCAGACCCTTCAGTCCGAGGCCCAGGCTCTAACCACTGAGTCAGGCTGGCTAGGTGCTGGAAGCCGTTCCGTCCTTGCTGCTTGACACAGTCCTTCAAGGAGGAGACCTCTGCACAGCCAGTGCTCCATGGGGCTTGGCGGATGGCAGATCCCTCTTCCCATGCTTGTTCCCCTCCCTGACACTCTGTGTCCTTACCCGAGTCACTGCACCAGAAAAGGGCATCGCCCTAGCTGGGAACTTTTCCCTAGCAGGGGAGTCAGATGGGACTGGAAAAGACAATGATTCAGGAAAAGCCCCAAGGAGTCCGGGAAAATCATGTGCCGCTTATGAGGAACTCAGACTGTCAGCAGAGAGTTTAGGACTTGTTAGGCCACTACTCCGGGGACCTTCCCACCGGGGAAGAGGCCTGGGTCCGGGCCCCTGCTAACTCGGCGGTGCAGGGCCATCCACAGGGAGGCCACAGTGAGTCCCCACTAAGGAATGTATTACTGGGGGATGTTCATATTAATGGAAAACTCTGGGAATCCCCCCAAGGAAAGAGCGGTCTAGGAAAGAGAGTATTTCAGTCTGCACCTGAGCCCTTATCATACACAGGACATCACACTGAGGAGGGGCTGCTGTGGGGAATGTCAGCGGGGAGACTGAGGCAGGCGCCAGACAGGCGGGCAGTCGCCACAGCTAAAGACAATCACGCGCAAGCCCCAGAGCCCTCACTTAGGACTCGCATCACCTTCACATAAGAAAAGCTGGCTGAGTTAGTCTCCTTTTAGCTCTGTGGTAGAGCAATAAAATAGTAACTTCAGAATATAAATAACAAAGTAGAGATTAACCTGTAGAATAGCCTATAGAAATATAAACAATAGGTGAGACTAAAATTAACACACCTAAACAGATGTAAATTCTTTAGTAGAGGTCAGATAAGAAGGTATACTCATTAACTGAAAGGCCAAAACAGAAGCCGGAACAAAGCATGATGTCATGTTTAACCAGCAATAAAATCAAATAGTATAAATACAGTTGTAACAAGGCAATAAAGGGGAGAAGCTGATTGTCCTGATGCTCTGAACGCAGTCTCTGTGTCCTTCCTTCATTCTTCGCTGACTCTGTCCATACCTTTGGGCACTCCTGGGCCACTAGGTCTGGACCCTGGCAGCTAGGGTGACTGTGGGTTTTTATTCATCTTTTTATCTCTCAATCAACACATAAAACAAAAGATAACTCCTCATATTTGCCTCCATGTCTACTTGACCATTCCTAGACAATTTTCTTGGAATATTTTCCTCTGGCTCTCATTGTGCCAATCACAATGTATCAGAATATTTTCTCTGAGTTTAGGTACCTCCAGTTAGGAGATATTCTGAGAAATCGGTAGGAGATTGATTAGAATTGTGAAGTGACTTGAAAACTGTCATTGTCATGTTAATTCCAGCAACTATTTAAGAATAGCATAGGAAGAGAATGAAGATGTAGAATACATCAGTGTTTGTCCATGTCTTAAATTCTATATCTTACAGCAAAAATTTGTATGTATAATCTTCTTTGCTGCTTTTTTTTCAGCTATAGACATATTTTTCTCATTAATTTCATCCTATTCTTATATGATTTCACTGTTTTTTTGACATGTTAACATTGTCATAATCATGCAGTAATTTTAGCAATCCCAAACTCTGCCGGAAATATAAGATTTGCAGTGGATACTAAGGTGTCTTTGGACCTAGTGTAAACTTATGACCCAGTTTAAACTTTTTTTGTCTAGGATGGAAAGAACTGTATAATAAGCTTTGTTAGTTCTTGAAGCATTGAAGAGTAACAAGTACTTTGGAATAAGAAGAGGTGGAGGAGGGAGCTTTCTGGCTGCTATTTAGCTTACACTATAATGTATAAGAAAGTAGATGCATAGGAGCCCTCAAAATATAGAGAGAATAAGTAGAATTATAACCAATGGGACACCTAATCAAATGGTGAACCAGGAGATCACCAGTAATTTTTAGGGCATAGTGATATGGTATATAATACATGTCTTTTAGTGATTGCTGGAAGGGTATAAAGAAGTAAATGAGGTGTTAGAGGCATAGAATTAAGTAGAAATGCATGCTCATTTAATGTCCCTTTCCCTCCTCACTTTCCTTTCTATTTTTGGACCACATTATCTTCTACATCTGACTATGTTCAGGTGATTCACTGTCATTGGCTCAGTGACCAAAGGGTCTGTAGTGGGCACTTTATGCAGATTGCCATGAGAAGAGCTACCAGTCTTTCTTGATTTTGAACTCAAGTTGAGTTTAAAAAAAAAAAGTTCTTCATCAAGGACCTGAAGCAGCTGAAAGACTGTACCCCCACCTTCCAACCCTATGTCTGCTTGAGAAATCCAAGTAGTCTTCCTCCC